CTCAAAATTAAATACAAAGTTTCAAAAACGTACCTCCTTATCAATTAGAAACCTCTTATAAATGTTTTTTTTTTTACTCACAGTTGTTATCCAAGTTGCTGATATTAAACATTACAAATTTTCCCGTTATTTATTTTTCGTAAGGGTTTTGAAGCATTATTTTCCATGCCCCGTCATGTCTTTGTTTAAATACACCCTGAGATTATTTACATTGACAAGTCTCAAGCAGGGCTGCATGGTTTACGAACTCCGGCGTCTGGTGATGTAAAATATTTTATATTGATCTTTCTGCACCACTCTCTCCTTGTATCAGCGATGTAACTGATACATTTGTTTTAGCACGCTGAAACCCTTTCCCCCGTCAATACGTAGCTTCAAGTCCTCTAGTCGACTGTTACTTGCCGTGTAAAGCAAGCTGTCTTTCACGGGTAATCTGTGGTAATTGGTGCCTTGGAGCCGGGATTTGGATGTAGACATAATATTTTGCATTGAAAACATCGTATTATTTTTCGTTGATGTGGGTTATAGGTTTTTTTCTCTTACAATTTTCATACTTCTTTAATGAAAAACAACTATTTGTTGAAATAAGTATTTAGATTCAGTTAAATAAAGTAAACGGATTTTGTTGAATAAAGTAAATGTAAATAACGCAAGGTTCAGATGAAAGTATTTTAATATTTAAAATTTTAACATTTTAAAATGTAATTTTAGTCTGACAAGAAATGTTTGGTTGTCGATCCCGCTGTGTCGGCCAGTACTGTAAACAAATCTAGTTTAGATACAACATAAACGTATGATGCAAGTTTTAATATATTTAAAACAAACTCTCTGGTGTCCAGTGGTGTTCACATGTTTTGGTGTTTTGTTTTTCTCAGGGCGTTACAAGCCTTATAATTTAAGGAACAAAATACTCGTTTACTTGGTTTATTCGTTAGCTCTTGTTTATGATAAGGTATAGGTTTTTTTTTTTGGGAGGAAAATTCCCAAACTATATTTTGATGTCATAAATAATATCGTCATAATCTGTCCGATTTTTAAAAATACTCTTTTTATCTACTAAAAAATATTCTTATAGGAAAGGCAGTTTTGGAAAAAACTAAAATGAAACAATGAAATTAAACAGCTTTCGAATCATAAATTTCTCATAAAACATTTGGAATATGATGCTAAAGCACCGTGTTGATCTGGGCTTTAGCACAATAGTTCAGGGTTTCTTTCAGACATTTAAAACATTTTTTTTTCGTAAACGGGTTGGATAATGATAAAAATATGTATTTTCTGTATAAATCATATAACATTCTGGACAAACCTATTTTTGAAACTAGTTAAACGATAAGCAAACAGATTACTTGAGATGGCTAAGTCAGGTCAAATTTAAAATGCTTCAACTAACGTTAAAAAAACAACAACCATTAAAAAACGAAGAGTTAAAATTTAGGATTAATAGTTTTTTGAAGTCACGATGATAGGTAATTACGGTGAGCAGATTCTGTCAAGAGACAACAGCCTGACAAAAAATACTCTGCTAACATCCAACACACTCCAAGTCTAAACTTCGAAATATTAGCTGCCATTACAAAAAGCCGAATCTTTTATTAACTTGAAGTCTCTTGATGTATACTTTTCTGAGATTTTTAGGTACATTCGTAGGTAAAAAATAAAATAAAATGGGCCAGTATGTACCTGCAATGTTATAAATATTTTTAGCGCTATCATTTGTTATATTATAAAATAGTTCTAAAAATATGCCATTCCGTTAGCCTGCAGGAGGTAGCTAAAATAAATTAGGAGTGGGTTTTTATAAATAAACACAATTAGAGCTCGAAAGGGATGTAATTTTTATAAATATCAACGAGGAAGTCGAATAATTCTGATTATATCCCTTGACTCGATCAAAAGTAAAGTGGTAAAACGCGTCTATCTGATATTATTGTCTGTCCTACTCGTGTTTTTTTTATCTTCTCCACACTTGAAAAGATTTCCTCACTTTCAACCGCGTCAGCGTGGAATCCTCTAAAAGAAGTCCATATCTAAATGAAAGTTGTGGTTACTTCCCCTTATCCATCTTCTCCTACTCCCCCCCCCCTCCCTCCCCGGGGCTTGATTGACAGGCCCGGTCCCCACCCGACACCATGTGCTAGCTATAAAGCCTCCCCTCACTACCTTTGATTATTGTGGTCGCGGCTCCATTGTTTGTCTGCCATGTGTTTCTTGTCCATCAAGCCAGCGTTTAGGCCCCCATGTAATTACGCCTAGGGGCTGGCAGTTTATTTACTTTAGCACTTTAATAATCCGCTCCGAAAATATAACCACCCCTTAAGCATAGCTTCACATTTTTTTAGCGGCAAATTGAAAAAATAAACTCACCAAATCTCCGAATCTAGGAATGGCTGAGCCTGCCTACCCTCCTTATCCCCCACCCCCACCCCCCCACCCCCGGTATACTCTGTTCAAGCGTACCTCTTTCAGCCTGGCCTGTCAGTCACGCCTTTGATGAAAAATCTAGCTAACTTGTTTGCTTTGTTTCCACCCTAGAAAAATGATTTTCATTTGTAAAACACTTCAAAGGTGTTCTGTTACCAGTTTTTTAAAGGGTGTTTTCTTCAATGTGTACAATTTGATTGCCTGTACGAATTAAGTTTCCCCTTTTGTTGTGAAATAAAAATACCGAGTTCCTTCCCCTGGCTTCCTCTTGTTATGCCGAGCACTGGGTAAATAGAAGTCTCTGTTCGCACGTGTTGAGCTGAATGGCTGACCCATTGACCAATTGAGCCGTCCAACTTGCGGGTTAGATAAAGCGGCTGCGCGGTTAATTTTATACCCGTGCATTTGGAGATTATTAATGAAAGAATATTGTTTTATTAAAAAAAAATATTAATGACTATTATAACGAGTTATTTCTTTTATTCGTCGAGGTAAACAACAGGTAAATAAGATGTGAAAAAAAATAATTATAATTAGCAATGTTTTTTTTGTATTTTCTAGAAGTAAGTTCAAACAGATTGCTCTTATCAATAGGCTACTTAATTTAAACCCTTTGTCTGGTGAAAAATAAAAACTGCTATCCTTTTTTTTGCTAGCAAAAACAAAACAGCCAGGTAAATTATATTCCCTAATCAGTAGCTCATGTTTAAGTATAACTAATGCATGATAATATTTGTTTAATAGAAATTCCGCATTGCTTTCGTGGTTGATTGGTTTAATTATCTCTTAACAAGCGCTGCTTGATACCCCTACGTTTATATTTACTTGTGAGGTTAAATCAACTTACACTGGGAGCACAGACAGGAAGAGCCATGGTTTATATCTGGTTAAAGACATGAAGGGCCATGGTTAAAGCCAGGGAGGGCCATAGTTAAAGACAGGGAGGGCCATGGTTAAAGACAGGGAGGGCCGTGGTTAAAGACAGGGCCATGGTTAAACTTAAAGACAGGGAGGGCCATGTTAAAGCCAGGGAGGGCCGTGTTTAAAGACATGGAGGGCCATGGTTAAACTAATGACAAGAAGGGCCATGGTTAAAGACAGGTAGGGTCGTGGTTAAATACAAGGGGGGGGGGGGGCTTGGTTAAAGACAGGGAGGGTCGTGGTTAAAGACAGTGAGGGCCATGGTTAAAGACAAAGAGGGCCTTGGTTAAAGACAGTGAGGGCCATGGTTAAAGACAGGTAGGGCCGTGGTTAAAGACAGGGAGGGCCATGGTTAAAGACAGGGAGGGCCATGGTTAAAGACAGGGAGGGCCGTGGTTATATCTGGTTAAAGACAGGGAGGGCTATGGTTAAAGACAGGTAGGGCCGTGGTTATATTCGGTTAAAGACAGGGAGGGCTATGGTTAAAGACAGGTAGGGCCATGGTTAAAGCCAGGGAGGGCCATGGTTAAAGACAGGGAGGGCCATGGTTAAAGACATGAAGGGCCGTGGTTAAAGACAGGGAGTGCCATGGTTAAAGACAGGGAGGGCCATGGTTAAAGACAGGGAGGGCCGTGGTTAAAGACAGGGAGGGCCATGATTAAAGACAGGGAGGGCCGTGGTTATATCTGGTTAAAGACAGGGAGGGCCATGGTTAAAGAATTGAACGGCCATGGTTAAAGACAGGGAGGGCCATGGTTAAAGACAGGGAGGGTCATGGTTAAAGACAGGGAGGGCCATGGTTAAAGACAGGTAGGGCCGTGGTTAAAGACAGGGAGGGCCATGGTTATATCCGGTTAAAGACAGGGAGGGCTATGGTTAAAGACAGGTAGGGCCGTGGTTAAAGACAGGGAGGGTCATGGTTAAAGACAGGGAGGGCCGTGGTTAAAGACAGGGGGGGGGGGGGCCATGGTTAAAGACATGAAGGGCCGTGGTTAAAGACAGGGAGGGCCATGGTTAAAGACATGAAGGGCCATGGTTAAAGACAGGGAGGGCCATGGTTAAAGACAGGGAGGGCCATGGTTACAGACAGGGAGGGCCATGGTTATATCCGGTTAAAGACAGGGAGGGCTATGGTTAAAGACAGGTAGGGCCGTGGTTATATCCGGTTAAAGACAGGGAGGGCTATGGTTAAAGACAGGTAGGGCCATGGTTAAAGCCAGGGAGGGCCATGGTTAAAGACAGGGAGGGCCATGGTTAAAGACATGAAGGGCCGTGGTTAAAGACAGGGAGTGCCATGGTTAAAGACAGGGAGGGCCATGGTTAAAGACAGGGAGTGCCATGGTTAAAGACAGGGAGGGACATGGTTAAAGACAGGGAGGGCCATGGTTAAAGACAGGGAGGGACATGGTTAAAGACAGGGAGGGCCATGGTTAAAGACAGAAAGGGCCATGGTTAAACTAAAGACAGGGAGGGCCATGGTTGTTTTAGTTGGTTAAAAGGTTGGAACAGCCATGATAACAGTTGGTTTAAAAGCTGGAAGAGCTTAATGTTTGGCTCTGAAAAGTACACACTTATGAGGGGCACTGATGCGTGACGTAAGTTTAGTTGTTTTTCTATCGATATTGACAAACACCCGTACTTTATTTTGTCCACAGGATGTGCCCCGCCCCCGGACCTGAGGTGGGCCAGAGAGGCATGACGTTCACCCAGGGTGGACTTAACTAGCCGCGTCACGGCTGAAGGACTCCATACATTCCATAGGCTTGAACCAGCCGGCGACACAAGAGATGGAGGGCAAACATAAAGCAGACAAACAGCCGGACCGAGCGGTAGGTTTTCATTGTTCATGTCTGAAAAAGTACCCCATCTAACAGGTTCTAAACTATCAATGGCTGGTTGTATGATGGAGGTACGGGTGGCAAAATGGCAAAAGTACACACACGCTATTAGTATACATATACACATGCGTATTCGTATACATAAATAAAAAAAATTATTTAAATAAATGCCCAACTAGCAGGTGATAATTGTGTCGCAAACCATGAATTTGTCGTTTAAATTATGTGAAAGTTATTGCACAAGCTCAAGCTACTATTTATGGGGGGAAATGGAGTAAAACACATACTACTACTACTTGTCCTAAATGTGTGTATACATACTATCCCATTTGTCTTGGCCGTCTCATTACTCACTTTATGATGATTTAAAACAGTCAATTGAAATCTATATTATCCTTAATCATTTTAACTGTTATGTTTGTTCGCTTTTAACTCGTTACCTCTTTGGTATCTTACATTCTTATATATATATATATATATATATATATATATATATATATATATATATATATATATATATATATATATACATATATGCCTATATACATATAAATGATGTGAGGGTTGTTATACAATGCGTTGATTTATGCTGGTATATTTTTACTAGTTAAGAATTTCTTGTCCTATTTCATAAAGACAGGCACATATTTTTATTGCATATATTTAACTTCATGCTCATTTTACGACGTTGTGAATATTGTGATAGCAGAGGTTGTAGCAAGAGTCGGTCATTTAAAAATGGGGAGAAATGTTTTGCTTTCATTTTTATTTTATTTTTTTCAAGTGAGAAAACGGGCAGGCTTATGTTTGTTTAGTTTACTGTAAAAGTCAGTGAAGCAAGAGCGTGAAAGGTACGCAACTCTTCTTTTAGCCGAAAGGGATATAACCTCTGTCGTCACTCGAACTCAAGCTGAACATTTACCCCGGCGCTCAGGCTTGAAGGGAAAACAGCGAATCCCCAGCGGAGCGGCCAACAATACATTGGGCGATGAACGGTTAACTAAAAACTCATCCTGGCAACGACAAAACGGTAATGATACAAAAAAAAAGTCAAACAGCGAAGAGTGGATGGGGGGGGGGGGGGGGGGGGGTGAGAAGAAAAAAAAATAAAAAAAAACTCCCTGCAAACGATTGATAATGGAGGAAGGATTTAGCAGCATCTTGCTAGCTACTCAAGATTTGATGTGACAGATTCCCCAAAAAGGCGGCTGCAGCAGATGTTCGTTGAAAGTGGGGTGGCGAGGGGTGGAAGCGAGACAATAGCACCGGCGGGTTTGTTTGTATTTTGTGTGTGTGTGTGTGCTGCTTGCCCTTAACTCGCCTAGTTTTGTATCAACACTTGAGCCGATGTTGGCCCCCTTGTCACTCGGACCTTAGGTGATAAACTGTGAGAGAGAATGTGCGTCTGTTGTGTTAGATTGGCTGGCATGTGGTGATCAGGGGGGGGGGGGGGGGCACAAATAACGGTGTGTGTTAAGTAGGGGTTACAAATAACACTGTGTGTGTTAAATAGGGGTCACAAATAACGGTGTGTGTTAAGTAGGGGTCACAAATAACGATGTGTGTTAAATAGGGGGCATAAATAACACTGTGCTTTAAGTAAAGGTTACAAAAAAGGTGTCTTAAGTAGGTGTCACAAATAACACTGTATGTATTAAATAGGGATCACAGATAACACTGTGTGTGTGTATTAAATGGGGATCACAGATAACACTGTGTGTGTTAAATAGGGATCACAGATAACACTGTGTGTGTTAAATAGGGATCACAGATAACACTGTGTGTGTATTAAATAGGGATCACAGATAACACCGTGTGTGTGAAATTAAATAGGGATCACAGATAACACTGTGTGTGTATTAAATAGGGATCACAGATAACACTGTGTGTGTGAAATTAAATAGGGATCACAGATAACACTGTGTGTGTATTAAATAGGGATCACAGATAACACTGTGTGTTTAAATAGGGGTCACAGATAACACTGTGTGTTAAACAGGGATCACAGATAACACTGTGTGTGTATTAAATAGGGATCACAGATAACACCGTGTGTGTATTGAATAGGGATCTCAGATAACACTGTATGTGTGAAATTAAATAGGGATCACAGATAACACTGTGTGTGTATTAAACAGGGATCACAGATAACACTGTGTGTGTTAAATAGGGGTCACAGATAACACTGTGTTAAATAAGGGCTACAAAGAATAGGGATCTACCACGGTGTCTTAAATACTGTTACAGTAACACTCTGTCTCAAATAGGACTCACAAAATACTTGTGTCTTAAATAGGGGTCACAAATAACACCGTGTGTTAAATAGGGGTCACATATAAGACCGTGTGTTCAAAAAGGGTCACAGAAAACACTGTTGAACAGGGGTCACGAATAAAACCGTGTTAAAATAAGTGCTACACAACATTTTATGTTGAATAACGGCTACAACAATGTATTGAATATGGGCTACAAATAACATTACAGAATATGGGCAACAAATTACATTGCTGACTATAAGCTGCAAATAACAACTCTATTATGTTGAATACATGTTGTTACATGTAGCACGGTCGTTTAGAATTCTTTTCAGTAGAGGACAAGTTGGATTAAACAAACTATATAGGTCGCCGGATCTTTTGAAATGCTTCTTAGAATACTTCGAATTGTTTTTGTTCGAGGTGTTTTTTGTGTGAGGTATGTTGAAATGTTGAAACGTCATCTTTATCCGGGTTCGTTTAAATGTTTCTTTGAAAATATTTAATGACTTCTGAATTAAACGTCATCTTTATCCGGGTTCGTTTAAATGTTTCTTTGAAAATATTTAATGACTTCTGAATTAAACGTCATCTTTATCCGGGTACGTTTAAATGTTCCTTTGAAAATATTTAATAACTTCTGAATACATGTCCTCTTTGTACCGGGTGTATTAAAAGGTTTGTCAGAAATAATAAATAGCTGGGCGCTGAAAAATGGGTCCTGTTTAACGACGGCCGAAGAATTCATAAAACGGTACGTGATGGTTGGTTAAATCATGTTTTTTTTTCCTTCAAAATAAATAAAAGCTTTGATTGATATGCTCATGTTTTTTCATTGGATCAAATATCATTGGAACGTTTTTTTGGGAGCTTTTTGTTTTATGTTAACTTATGTATTGGAAGGCGTGGTCGGAAGGTAGTTCCTACGACTACTAAGCCAACAGTCGAGTTCAAATCCCGGCTTGAGTGGTCCCTACGTCCACCCAGCTGTTGGGGTACCCGACTCTCTATCCTTTTGAAGCAGATTAATATACGATAACGTGAACATGTGTAATTATGAGACTAATAATGTGCGTGATAAAAAAAAAACAACAGAAATTGTATTACTTTAGTAGAGCACTATACAGTATTTTGCTCTACTTTTGTGGACCGGCTAACAGAAATTGTATTACTTTAGTAGAGCACTATACAGTATTTTGCTCTACTTTTGTGGACCGGCTAACAGAAATTGTATTACTTTAGTAGAGCACTATACAGTATTTTGCTCTACTTTTGTGGACCGGCAAACAGATATTGTATTACTTTAGTGGGCCGCTATACAGCATTTTGCTCTACTTTTGTGGACCGGCAAACAGAAATTGTATTACTTTAGTAGAGCACTATACAGTATTTTGCTCTACTTTTGTGGACCGGCAAACAGAAATTGTATTACTTTAGTAGACCGCTATACAGCATTTTGCTCTACTTTTGTGTACCGGCTAAAAGATATTATATTACTTCAGTATACCGCTATACTGCATTTTGCACTATTTTTGTGTACCGGCTAACAGAAATGGTATTACTTTAAGCTTTGCTTTCTTTAACCGTTACTTGTGGGCCGTGCCTAAACAGTCGCACACTACCCATCACAGGACATCTTTATTTGTCCCCTACACAACACAACAACACACATTAAGATAGATGAACAAAAAAATACAAGACGTTTCATAGCTTTGCTGGATCCGAGGCAGACACATTCTGAAACGACAGTGTATGTTTTTATTGGACACCGGTAATTTAAACAAGTGTGGAGGGATGAAAAAAAAAGCAAAAAACTTTTCGTTTATTTACAAACAAACTTTGCTTTTTCACCCTTCATTGGTTATCCGACATTTGTCAGGCTACACAAATCTTCTGACTGCGAATTAAAGCTAATATTTTAGTCATAACGGTTGTTTTGCTAGCTCCCCGTAGTCTTGAAATGATTCTCGCCTCATTAATGGCTCGTCAAATGGCAAAGGGGAAGCTACTCGCGCAGGGGAAAAAACTGTTGGCGTACCATTCCTCACCTTCTCTTGCCATCGTTTCGCTCTCGCCATTGACGAGTTTAGCAGAGAAATGGCTGGGTGTTATTTAAAACAGAAAAAAAATGGCACATCAGCGGAGGTTTTTTTTTTCGGGTTCTTTTTTTTTTGGGTTCTTTTTTTTTTTTTTGGAGGGAAATTTGTTGAAATGGAAATAAATTTTTATGTGGACGACACCAAGTCACGATTTTAGAAAATAATTTAAAAAATAATTTAATTAAAAAAATAAATATGTGTAGATGTTCACGATGATTTCTAGACTCTACGCGGAATTCGCAAATGTTTATAGAAATGTGATTTTGAGTGGTAGGGTAATAAAGTATCAATTCCCAGTAAGTGGCTTGACGTAGAGTGGTTTACACTAGCCAATGACATCCGCCGATAAGAGTGTATGTTGTTTAGCTTTATGGAAATGGTCAAACGCCTTTTGGACCATTTCATTGTACAACGAAACAAGCTTGCTCTTCGCCCTATTTTAAAATATGTTTTTTTTTTTAAATGTATTATTATTTTTGTTAACAATATTTAGTTTTAATCTCGAGGTCTTAAAAAAAAATAACCCCGCTCTACTTCAAACCTTGTAATTTAATTGAGTTGAAATGAAACAATTTCGCCACAGAAGGTAAATAATCAAGTCTATCTTCAGCGTGTTCTCGAATATCAATTCGCTTTG